AATAGAAAGAAATTTCCACTAACGTCAATGGCTAAAATTTTAGATTTAGCAAAGAAGCATCTCAACATGGGGCTGGGGGGAGACACAAAGATGGTAAGAAAGGTAATAAAAAAGCAAAAACTAGCTAACATTATCTCAAGAATCTCTGAAGTCAAATAGTTAATTTAAGAAATGGCAGTATCTGGAAGGGCTGGCTACTCATGTGTATAGAGCAGAATGGAGAATATTATTAACAGAATATTTACTATGTAGCAGGCTCAGTGTTAAGTATTTTATATCCAAGCAACATGAACAGGATGATACAAGAAGGGTTATTTTGACTTCAAAGTTAAACTGTGCCTATATTGCTTCTTCATAACTGAATACTTTGCTGGATTTCCCCCTCCAGCTTAATTTCTCCTATAGAAGCACTGAAGGGCCTTGGCTTCTAGATCCAGCTCTGTATGCAACACCAGAGATCAAGTGAATGACTTCAGTCATCAAGTGAGCTTCATTTTGTTCCATATTCATGGACTCTAATCTTATTCAAGGTCTGTCTTCTAAAAACAAAACAAAATAAAGCAAAGACCTGCCCTTGATCACAAGGAAACTTTGCTGAATAAAAACAATTCAAAAGGTAATAAAATACTTTCGAAACATGATGGTATCTACTAACTCCTAACACATGCATATCCTCACCCAGCAATTCCACTGCTAGATGTGTACTCAAAGAAGTATATACCAAAAGACAAATTCAAGAATATTCATAGCAATACTATTTATGATAGCTTTAATTTGGAAATGACCCAAATGCTCAGAAACCACAGAATGGAAGAACAGATAAATTGTAGTATATTCACACAAAGAACAAACAACACCTTGATGCAACTATATGGATAAATCTCACAAACATAATGATAAATGAAAAAGTTAGATGAAAAGAGTTCATATTGCATAATTCCATTTACATAAAATTCAGAAACTATCAAAATCTATGATCTATGGTATCAAATGTCAGGACAGTGAGATCTTCAGAGGGTGGTAACATGAAGGGAAGGAGAGCTAGTTTTGACATGCAGTTACATTCAACTTTATTTTAATCATGATGTTTAATACATCAGTATGTTCGCTACTTGAAATACTAGGTTTTATACTTTTTTTTTGCATTTTTTCTTTTATTCTGTTATACTTCATTAAAAAGTTCTTTAAAAAGCAATGTTTCATTTTGGTCTGTTAGTAGCATGGTATTTATACATTAATTGCTAATACCTTGGCCTTTTTTCTTAGTCTCTCCAAAACATGGCAAGTTTTGTTTTTTTTTTTTATTTTGACAAACTTTCATTTAAGTTATTGACTAAATGACAATCTAAAGAGAGCTCCATTTATCTCAATATAGGAAAATGTATTTTCAAACTTTAGCTTAAAATTCTGGTGCTATCCACCTTCACTAGATAAGGGCATTAACCCAAGTCACGATATATTTCATCTTTAAATATTACTTGGCTATAAAAAATGATAATCTCTTATTCATGCAATAACATGGATAGAGCTAGAGGGGATTATGCTGAGTGAAATAATCAGCAAAAGAAAGACAAACACCTGATGGTGTCACACGTGGAATATAGAGAAACTAGACAAAGAATCAGATAAAACCAAACCAGTGGGCCTCCCCAGTGGCGCAGCAGTTGAGCGCTGGGCTGTAAAGTTGCCCGTAGCCTCTGCAGCGCCGGTTTGATGTCCAGCTGCTGGCGAGGGTCCCACATGGTGCGGCAGACCTCTTCTGCCATGCCCACTGCTCCCCTCAGCAGTGTATTTCATTGGTCTGCCTGTTCTGTTCCCCACTCTGGCTCTGGTGAATTCTCTCACCCTCCTGTGCTTCTGACTGTACCCAGTGCTTGTATAAATAAATAAATAAATAAATCTTAAAAAGAAAAAAAACAACAGTAACAAACTCTAGAAATCTGAACTAATTGAGGTTACCAGAGGGGGAGAGAAAGGGAGAAAAGAAAAAAGTGAGGAGGGAGCACAATGAACAATGGTGGAGGACTTTCAGTGCCTTGGTAGTAGGTGTGGTGTGGCAACAGACACCTGAAGGGTGTGATCCTATACATCTAGATCATATACAAGTTATAAACCAATAGTATCAATCAATAAATAATTTTTATAAATTTAAATGAAAGCATTAACAACTATGAGTTTTTGATTCAGACTGCATTGTCAAAGGTTACTAAAACACTCTGCGGACCAATACATTTTTTTTTTGTTGTTAAAATGGTGAACTATGAAAAATCAAGTTTTTAATCAAAGGATTTCTTTACCTTCCATTTATAACTAAACATTAATCCAAAGTCATCAAGATTTGGATTATCTTCTTAAAATAGAGAGTATGACAAACACCTAAGGATGAGCATAGTTAAGACTATGTTACCTTTTTCTATTTTAGAGTATTAAATCACGTATGAAAGAATAGCTTTGGTATAAATATTTTGTTAACCACAAGAAGAAAAGGGGCAAGAAAAAACACAGACAGGCAGGATATAAAAGTTTATCTAAAAATTTCCTTTGCAAAATAATCCTCTGACAAAGATGAGTTAGTGGAAAGAATGAAATATACTGAAGTATGTTACAATATTGTTCCCAATGAAGTATTTCCAGGAGCTACTTTAACTCGGTTAAAGGATGTTATTTATTTCCCTGGTTACCATGATGCTTTGATTACAACCTACCCCATGTTTTGAAAGCTATGCAACGTCCTTAAACAGTTATAGAGCACAACAGGTTTGAGGGAAGGGAAAAGAGCATCTGTGATGCTCTTATTATACTTAATGAGCATTAAAATCTTTCAAACATTGTGATTACAAATCACAGTTGACAAGTGATGAGAAGGCTTATGAATTTACTTCTCTCCCTAGCATAAATGTTGCTGATTTTTTTAGTAACTGACATTAGAGATTCAAGTAGCTTCAAGATGAAGTTTCCTGAATTGTGAATCTAGGTTCTAGAAGATACATAGACAGTGCTCCAAGGTCAGGGATGGCACCACTGTGAGAGTTTTAGAAAAACATCATTTCAAAGTGACTGAGAAATCCCATTTAACTGGTATGATTAAGCATATTGTCATTCTTTTTTCTACAATGAACACACAAAACCAATCTAGTATGAAATTAGATAACCTCTTTAAGCAAAAAACATGAAGCAATGATTATAAGTATTTGCAAGTTCTTACTATATATATAAAATGAAAAACTGTTCAAAGGTCATACTCTCATCTTCCTATTTTTATGAATGCCATTAAGTACCAAACTTAGCTCTGTGTGCAATGAATAAAACCTATGAATATTTATAAAAACAAACTATTGGTATTACTTTGATTTAAAATTATAGAATACAATAATGTGAATTTAGTTTTCACTATTAAAGAGTAGTACAATAAATTAGAGGAGTCAGAGGAACTGTTTGCCATTCTGATTTGGATAGTCAGGCAAAGCAGAGTTTTTAGTACAAATACCTAGATTTGCTTTGTGTATACTGTGATCGCAACATTTTGACTAGGAAGGTTTTACTTCCTAATTCTAGATCTTCCTTTAGGTTAAATTTAGATAGGCATTTAACAAACTAGCTTGTAAGTAAAATGAGAAAATTAATGTGTATCAAGCTTATATATTCAGAATTTGAGAATTTATTCTGTGACCCTCAGTAAGTCACTCAATCCTTTTTTTTTTTTTAATTGAGGTAACACTGGTTTACAACACTGTATATGATATAGGGGAACTGGCTCACATCTTTTCTGATATATGACATTATACCACACCCACCACCAAAGCACCCGTAATCTTTTACCACAGTCCATTAGGCTCCCTCACCCCCTCCCGCTTTGTACACTACCCCATATTCCCCTTCTAGTAGCCTCAAGTCTGCAGTCATATTTCTATGCACTCAAACCTTTATCAAAATACATTACAAATGTTCAAAAATTCTACATGCTTACAAACTGCCCTGCAATCTTCCAGTATTGTCCAACTACCAGTTAGGAATTTTGAAGAGCAAATCCCAGCTATGATTGCATATAAATGAGTACTGTTATATTCAATAGCAGGCTGAGAAATAACACTATTGTGCTTTATACAGTTTATACACTTTATCTTTTTAACCTTATTTTGATATTCAAATTTCTAACTCCTTAGGGTGATTGAAACAGACTATTTAAGAAAGAGGAAAATTTATGCAAAAAGGTATTAAAACAATACAAACCTGTCTGGATTATTAGGCTTATACTTTTGATTACCCTAGTTTTTCAATTTGAGACAGCAAAATTTTTATATACACTTATATTTCAAATAATAAAATTTTCCTCATCCATCATCTTTCCTATCACCGCTAAAACCATGAAACATTTTGATGGGAAGTATAATGATGTATGGATTTGCAAGATGCTTTTTTCCATAAAAGAGTAAAGTAAATATATGGAACTATCTTAGGGACTAAAAACAATAAAAGAGGCTAATACTGAAACTAAATTTTTAAACACGCTATTGTCTACAAATATAATTATATGATTTAGAAGTTTTAGTTTATCACTTTTCTCAACATTTGGCAGGAGTTTCAAACATCAATATTCAGTATTATGAATTGAGGATTTAATTACTGTGCAAATTTCAATGATATTCACTCTTGGAATATAAATGCATAGCTATTAAAACATCATAGTCTAAGTTCATTTAACTTTAAAGGTCCTTCATATTAATAATGCATTATTACACACATATAAGCTTATTATTAATTTAATTATACAAATTTAATTGCCTCATTTTACTTGTAGGAATTTCATATGCCTTATTATTTTCATTTTTCACAAATAATAAATTTACAATTAATGTAGTCTACTAAAAATTCAAAGAGAACTTTAAGCATTCTTGACTTAATGTCATGGGAACAAAAGAAAACAAAGCAAACTGTAAACATTTTTAAGTAGAAATTATTTTCTGTTTCAGCTTAGGAATGAGAGATGGGGTGCACTCTACCTCGCAAAGCAGTAAGTCAATGATGTGGAAGACCATGCAGAGTGGGAACTTGGCAGTAAAAAGAGTGAGAAACCACTGGGATGCATACATATGTGCTTCCAGGTTCAGCTCACAAAAATGGGTATGCAGATCTGGTAACTGCTCCTAAAAGTCAAAGTGGAAAATTTAAGGAAAAGAGCATGAAAGAAGCTTTTATTTTCTTCCACAACTGTGATTTATGACAAGCTTTCTATGATCACTTTCAATTCACTCTGACATTCATTGCATTGTATATGGCTACATGGAAGTGATGAAAGGAGATGAGAACTGGGGATATGGCAGAAAATCAAGGAAAATGAAGGCAGACTTCTTATGTACAAATAACAAAGATCATTTCTTAACTGTCGTTGTTTTTTGGCAAAATCTCACACCAACAGAAAACCTGCAGTCTATGTCTAATGAATATCATTCATCCAGGGTCAAGTCCCAGTACCACCATTTGGGGGTAGCTCCTAACTAGCTAGAACAATGTATCTTCTCTTTGGAGACCACTTAATATCACCATCACCTGGGTTCTATGATGTCAGTTCAATATATTTTGGGGGTGCTCAGAAAAGCCCAAAACTCTTGGCAACATATGGGAAAAGTTTTAAGATATGTCCCTACATTACAAAATTTTAGGTGTTTTTAATTTGCTTATCAATATTTTTCCATCTCTTCAAAATGTTCTTTACATGTGGATATAAATATGGAACTGGTGCTAACATAGAGAAAACTCTTAATACTTCAATTTTTATTCTATAAATAGCTATAGAATATAAATATTCTATAAATATAAATTTATTCTATAAATAATACCCAGTAATCTCTTCATTGACTTAACTCACTAATTTCAAAGTGTTTTAAGGTTGAATATTTAAAATGGAAGACTAAGTTTACAAAGGTCAAATGATTAAATAAATATTTTATGATGTTAAGACCATTGCAGACATTGGTCAGAAACAAAATCTATTAACATTTTCTATAGAATTCATTATACTTTTATAAGCCATTATCAATTTTATTAGATTTTTTTTTCTGTAACTCAACAAATCTCTAAGTGATAGAAGTTCTGTATTTCATTTACCTGCATCAATCTCTCCAACTGATAGAATTTGCAATGAAGATCTTCAAAGTTGTTTTCGTAGAGGGCTCGTAAACCATAGTCATGCATGATTTTCACCAAAACACAGAAAGCTTGCTCCTCTGGCATCTATAGGAAAATATGCAGGCTTACATAAAGTATTTTATAGTTGTCTGTATTTTGTACTAGTTATGAAGTTTATCTCTGACATAGTTAAAACAATGCAGTCATGAAAATTACTACTTAGCTGTATTTTCAAACATCATTCTACTACAAAAGTGAGTTCTGCCATTAGTCAGCATTGTGGCATCTATCTACTTTAAAAAATGCATTAAAATAACTAACTTATTACAGTGATTAATACCTCATCAGACCAGACATTCCAATTTATCATTGATGTGCAATTGTTTTAAAGTACAATGGGACCTCTCTGGTGGCACAAGGGGGTAAGCACAGCACTGTGAAGCTATCTGCAGCCTCTGCAACATTAGTTCTATCTTTGAAAAGGCCAGGGAGCTACCCACATGGCACAGAAGACCTCTCCTGTCTCGCCCGCTGCTCCCCTCCGCAGTGTATTTCAGTCATTCTGCCTGTTCTGTTCCACTCTGTCTCTGGTGAATCCTTTCACCCCCACACCTCTGGCCTATACCTCAATTCTTGTATGCATAAATAAATAAATCTTTAAAAAAAAGTACAATGAAAATCAATCATTGAACAATATATTTTTAAAGAACATATTAACATTTTGGAGCATGGTGGGATTCTAATAGAAAATATCTGTTTTTGTTATGTATAGGTGCTTTGTCATGGAGTCAGTGTTGTTTTACTGGGGAAAAGAGATCAACATTAAAATCTTGTAATTTAAGGTACTAAAATATCACCCATGGCACTACGAAATACAAAACTAAATATCTGCCTCACGAGTCTAATCTCAGAACCAAGCATAATGTTATCACTGTTTGGTAAAAGCTACTGATAATGATCTGCCATCTGTACTATCAAAGATAATCACAAAATGGAGACAGTCTCCCAAATTCCCTGCTTCTTTCCTCAATGAACCATAAAACAAAGCAGTACAAAAGTCTTTAAGACTGACCAGAAGTAACATCTATCAAGAAGGTTTTTGAAGTAAAATCATATGTTGACAAAAACAATCCTCTTATTTAGGATAAAGCTAAATGTGCTATTTCACATAATTGTGTTTCATCTTTTTGTGATCTTTTTCCAGGCAATGAACATTCCACTGATAACAAAGGCAGATGCTAGTGACTATTTTGAAAATCATAAACTCCGGAGTTTTCATTTTTCTGTTTACAAATTGAAAAGCAAATAGAACGAAAACTTTTCATCTGTTCACTTTCCTTTTAAATCAAATATACGCTAAAATACATTTAAATCAAATGTCTATTTGTAAGCAATGAAACTTACTGTACCACATATTAATTTGCCGCATGTGACTAATTTAAGCTAGTAGAATCAGTGTCCAAGAGAAAATTGGCTGCATATATAATTATTAATTTTAGGAAAAATAGCATCAGTTTTCATTATTAGACATATTCATTCATGACCTCAATGTGAAACTGACAAAAATTCGGAAAAGTAGGTATTTTTACAGCTTCAATATTAGACTAGTGAAGTTAGATAAATGACTGCCAATTACTACATATCTATTAAGTAAAGCCTGGATTTAATCTCATGATGGCAGTCTTTCACACCAGGTATAAAATAAGACTCTTTATACTCATAAAATAAGTTGTTCAGTTTTCATGAAAACCCTACATGGAAGATAATATTATTTGCATTTTACAAATGAAGAAACTGAAGCTCAGAGAGGTTAGGAAATTTGCTGAAGGTCAAGTAACTTGAAAGGTATTTAAACAATTCAAATTCATAGTTGTGCTTTTTTACTATCATTTGAAGGAGTTCAGCCTGAAAGGGCAGAGAGAGTAACTAAATGGAAGGATCAAGAGAGGATTATTGTAATGTAAAATGTCTTGAGTATATTTATAGCACACAGGGAGAAGAATGTTGGGAAATGGCTTAAAAGCAGTGATGCAAGAAATAACCAGAACAGAAAAATTTCTTACAAGGAAAAAAGAGCTATGAGAATATAAAGACTCATTTTAAAATATACTAAAACTCTTGCAGACATCACTATAAGATGATGTGAAGTACCTGTTTCGTATCTTAGCTATCACCTGCTAGCTGTAGGAAAACTATGTCATTGTTCAAGAAGAGCTCAGTTCAGTTGTTTACTATTAACTCGGCAATAAGGTAGTTCATTGTTCAAGAAGAATGTTCAGTTCACTGTCAGCTCAGCAATAAGGTAGACCTGAGCTAATCAGAAAACCCTACCTTCTTTCTTTGCCTTAGTATTTGATTCCTGGATGGCAGGTTTCCAAGGCAGACCAATTCAGGATTTTTTTTTTTTTTAATACAGGAAATATAGCAAAAGAAAGCCCCTTTTAAAAGAAGCTATAAAACTGAAAGGATAGTCTAGCCAGTAGTCATGTTGCCTACTTTGTGGCCTGCCCATATAATTAAAGCAAGAAAATTTAACTAGAAAAGATACAGATACAGATTCCCAATGAAAGAATATGAACTCTGAAATCCAGCCATGTCAAATTCATCTCTGCCCTCAACTTCCCAGTTACGAGTCAATAAATATTCTTTTTTACTCTGAATTAAGGTTATGACACAAGTTGCAGAGAGAACACTGAATAACAAAATGTCACAAATACTTTTACTTATATATACATAGAAGGACACTAGGAAATCTCTAACTTGTCACGTTGGACTCCTGTAATCTTTATTTTCAGGAAAACTAAGAAGTAGCTCTACTCATCTTGAGTTCATTGGTTATCAAATCTCATCCTAAACCTATCTTTTTTGGGGTGGATGCATGAAAAGATTCATAATTTAAAGCCTTATTTTATTTTGAAATACTACATACAGAATACACATAGTTAAATGTACATTCAATAAATAATTGATGATGAAATAATTATAAAAATATTCATGTAACCACTGCCTAGGTTAAGAAATAAAATACTGTTACCACTCTTGAAAAATCTCTGTCTCTAGCCAATCACAAATCTCAATGTTCCCTCATAGAAATCACTATCCTGACCTTATTAATAACCACTTCATTTTTGATATTTATATTTTTCCATTTTATCTGTTACTAAATTTTATATTAAATGGAATCATACCAAATGTAATCATGTTTTGCTTTATTTAAAGCAAACTAGCTTAGAACATTATATAAATTTCAGGTATACAACCTTGTAAATCAACATCTGTATATACTAGTATAAGCTCACCACCAGATGTTGAGTTTCCATCCTTCACCAGCTGTCTCACTAAGAATTATACTTGTATGATTTATTCACACTAACCTAGGTAGTATGAAATTTTCATTTCACAGAGTTCCACAATATACCTATTTCAATGTCTAATTACAATTCTAATATGGGACATTCTAATAGTGGACATATGAATCATTTGACTATTATAAACACTGACCCTAGCAAAATTTTAATACACGATTTCAGGGTACATGTGCACAAATTTGACTGGTGTGAATATCAAGAGATGCAACTCCTGAGTATGTACATATTTATCAGATAAAACCAAACTGTTTTCCAAAGGAGTTGTGCCTAGTAGTAGTCATTTTTTATTTTTTTTTTATTTATTTATTTTGCATGGAAGAGTTGGGGTATAGGCCAGAGGTGCAGGGAGTGAGAGGATTCACCAGAGTCAGAGAGGGCAGTAAAACAGGCAGATCCACTGAAATACACTGCTAAGCAGAACAGCAGGAGAAACAGGTGAAGTCTGCTGCGCTATATGGGTTAGCAACCTGGATGAGGATCAAACTCAGGCCATCGAGGTGGGCCCTGAGATGATAGGGATGAGCCTTGACCCTAGGCCACCAGGGAGGCCCCATAGTAATTTTTAAAATCTGTAATTTTAAACATTGTAGATTATCCAAACATATTCCTTTTGCATTTGGAAAGCTTCCACACGTACTAGCATACATATAATAATAATATTATCTGACAAAAAAGGCATGAGTTCCTACAGGTCTAAAAAATGTATATGATCAATAAAAAATAATTTATACTGCTCATTAGAAAAATATATTAGGTTAAAATTATCTACATATTTTATGTGATCTTTTAGAATAAATTAAATATGTAATAGGATATTATTTACTATACTTCCAGTTAAGCAAAGGCTAATAATGATATTACTGATTATTATAGCATATTTAACTTCAAAGGCAGTTAAATACTATAATGGTTATGAGCAATCTGTGCTATAACATTCAACTACAAATGATCAATTTCTTATAACATCATCAAAAGTTAAAACAACATTTACTGTGATAAATACAATTCTTCCATGACTTAAATTACTGCATATTGCAATGCTATCACTAAAGCATCTGGAAATTTCCATGCACTAGGATAAGCTAATAATTTCTTAAAATTATTCGGACCTGGAAAACCTTGAAAATTCAATACTTTTGTTTCTGAACATACTTTCATTTTTGGTCTTTTTTTCCTCTTAGGCAGTGATGTGAAATATAAATGACCATGGGTGAGGAAAAGACAGCATCCCCAAAGAAGAAAGTCCTGACGATGATTAATAAAGAGCTGCCAAAGGATGTCTGGCAGCAAAAAGAAGCAATAGCTTATGAAACTGATAAAAAATTAGTTTGTGAGATCCTAATAACCTACTTCCTTGGAAGCTGAGATAATAATAGATGAATTGTTTAAGCTACACTGCATTCTTCTAACCTGTTTAAACCGTGTAGTCAAAAATATGGGAAAAAAAATTATACTTCACTTTTCTTATTCAAATTGGTTGATGGCTGGATGAGTCAGTTATGTAATATGCTGATTAAGAGAATTATCATGCTTACTACCAATTAAAAATTACAACATACTCTGTTTTCCATTAACACTATGCTGAATATTAGTAAATCTTTCCTTAAGGATTCTAAAGGCATTTTTTCTAAATTTCCAATTATTTTTATAAACTATGGCAACAACTGCACAATTCCAGCATCAGAGTCTGGACTGAATTTCTATCCATCTTGGCAAATACTTGGCTGAATAAGTTTACAACACTGATCTGCCATGTATGCTTAAAATAGCAGAATAAATAATATAGAAAAAATTCTTGGTATTTGAGTTTTCTAGTTATTTGAATAGCTCTTTTTTTAGGGGGGATAGCTGGATATATGTCCAAATAAATATGAACTTACAATTATCTCAACTTTTGTTAAATCTCAGAACAGGTTTCTCAGAGTGACATTTTCCTTAATGAAATTCAATTGCTAAACTACAAACAGAACTATAGCTCTAACATGTTAAACTGTGGTATATTCAAAGATTACTTTGTGGAAAGGGAAGTTTCACCACACATGGCTCCTCATCACAGTGATTATAATGTTTCCTTTTAAAAGAAAGATGCTCTGAACTTGATGAACACATCATATCACTGGCCTATAGGCTCCAGAACTCCTTTTAGTAGGGACCTGACCTTTCTAAATACTAGTTGGTTTTAGTAATGTAGCAAGGGCCCTTGAAAATCTGTGGCCATGAATTGCTTGTTTAAACAGATATGCCAAGAAGATGGGCTGTGGAGCTACCAAAGAAAGAAGGCTAACAAGGAAATCAAGAAAGTCACAAATGATAATGCAATAGAAAAAATCAACTTCAGACTCAAATGAAATCAATAATCACAAGAAAACTACTGCAAATAATTATGATAATTAGAATCAAGTCATCAGAATGAGGCCCAGGAATCTACTACCATTGTTCTTCATTTCCAGAACACAAACCTAAAAGAAATGCTTTGGTTTTAAATTTGCATGACCTCTGTTGGATTTGGCATTATACATTGCTTCTTCCCCACTGAAAAAGCAGAAATTCTTCAAGGATTCTCTTCTTCATCAGCCCTTTAAATATTTGGCACTTCTGGGTTCTATCTTGTTATTCCTATTCCATTTATTCTTCTTAGATGATGTGATTCAGTCTTTTGATTTTAGCTTTCATTTCTCCCTCAATATCTGACTAGTAGCTATATAGTGTCACTCAGATCCCAAACTCAGAGAATTCAAACTCAGAGAATTCAAATCAAAATTCATAAATATTTTTTCTCCATTCCATTTCAATGGATGTATATTTAACTCAGTTCAAAATACTAGAATTCACCTAGTTATCAAAGCTAGAAAACTAAACATGCTACCTTTGACCCTTCCTGTGTCAATCCATTCATTAAACCCTCCTATTTACTTCCTGGTTGCTACTTAATTCTGAGTCTTCCTCTCTGGGTCTTAGACCTACCATTTCCTAGCTGGTCTCTCTACTGCTACTTGTTTCCTTCAATTTCACTCTCTATATGAGAATTATAAGAATACATACTTATATCAACATTTGGCTGTCATTCCCTTGCTTCAAACCAATCAATGGCGCCTCATAAGTCCCCTTTCTTGACATGATTACAAATCTCCGTAACTTGGTATCTGACCACTTTTAAAAACCTCTGCATTATATGCATATAATTCTTATAGCAGATGTATAGAAACTGTAATTTCATATTGCTCCCTTTACATGCTCTATGTCCTTCTGTGTTTCCATACATTTACTTATTTTGTTCCTTTTGTCTAGTAATCTCTATTCTCTCCCTTTCCCCGCTAACCTCCTACCTCATATATTTGTTTTGGCAAAGCAATCACCTCCAGAAAATCTTTTCTGAATGTTCTCACAGAACTAGGTTGAGTAATTTTCCTTTCTGTATCTCACTCTATGTACTGTTTTCACTTAGCATACTGTAAGTTCTTTTAAGAAAACATCATAAAAGTCAACAAAGACATAAAAAGAATAAGTATTTGCCAACATTATTTGTGCTCTATCCCAGATACTGAGACCTTTGAGAACATAAATGATAAATTATTCCCATTAGTAATCCCACTTCCTAGTCCAGTACTGAAAACTGATGCTCAATAATTTCTGTTAAATGAAGGTAACTAACAGGAAAACAAATCACAGAAAAGTTAAAGACTTCCTAGATATATTCCTTCATAATGGCCCTGGTCCTGCATATTTAGACAGTTACATCAACTTCTTTAATTCTAGGGCTTCCCTGGTGGTGCAAGGGGTTAAGCACCGCACTATGAAGCAATCTGCAGCCTCTGCAGCACGAGTTTGAATACCAGCCATCTAGGGAAAAACCCACATGTTGAAGCAGACCTCTCCTGACTTGCCTGTTGCTCCCCTCAGCAGTGTACTTCAGTCAGTCTGCCTGTTCTGTTCCCCACTCTGTCTCTGGTGAATCCTCTCACTCCCGTGCATCTCTGGCTTGTACCCCAGCTCTTGTATGCATAAATAAACAAATCTTTAAAAAAAAAACTTCTTTAATTCTAGAGAGTTTTAGCTAAATATCACCCCATAATAAGCAATTCATTCAATTCTAGCAAGAAAAATTAATTCTACTGAGAAACTGTCCTATTCTTGACATCAGATCTCTTATTTATCATGAAAGGTACATTTTTAAAAAGATATGTCATGTGCAATCTCCATCAGATAAATGGAAAATAAGACAAAACAAAACCAAGTAGAAGGTTAAGTAAACTTGGCAGCATCCTGCCATTTATTATATGGAAAATTACTTACATGCAGCAGCAGTACAGCAGCAAGAAAAGACTGTCCTTGACAGTACCCAATATCTTCATCATAGACGGAATATGCCTAGATAAAAGATGAAGAAAAAGAAATATTGTAAGCATTCAGATTTTAACTTAAGTGTTAGCTCACATCAGGCTTTTTCGCATCCCCAGCTATCCACCACAATTTCAGGAATTCTTCAACTTGAATATGTGCACCATCAACACAATATACCCCAAAGAGGTTGCATGTTTCCCAAAGCAATTGTAGATGTCCCATTATCTTCATCTTCAGAATTTTTGGGGGAAGAAAAGGAAGGTGGGGGCTCAGAGCACCTAACTTAATTTTAAAAGATCTATTTTGGTTTGTGCTCAGGTGAACTATCATAAGAGAAGCAAGAACAAGGGGTAAAAGAGGGAAGGAAGGTTCTACAGTTGAAGCGGGATTTCCGATGTACTATACTGGTAAATTGTATTGCTGTTGAAAGTATAGTGCAGATATCCTAATATAATAAGACAAAAAATTACCATCTATAATCTCCAGCAGTTTTCAATTTATAAAAGGTTGAAGGGTAAAAATGACTTCTCCTATATATACTACAGCAGTAAGCCAGAAACATTTAGCAGTGTCTTGCATTTCTGAAAAATGGCTGAAAGAGCACCTCTTGCCACAGACACACCCAATGTCTTGGGTGTTCTGACTTTTTACCATCTTTAACATCATTCTCACCAGGCCAGCAGCAGATAGCCAAAGAGGCCCACTCACAGGAAATACAACATTCCTTGGGAAGCAGCTGTTCACCTTAGTCTTCAGAAGTAAGGAAGTAAGACTGCATGGTTAATATACACTAACTAGTATGTCAAACTGTTGAGATTATTATTTTTCAAAAAGATACCTTGTATAATCTTTAAGGAACTGTACTCAATTACAGTAGGAAGAGTGTGTTGATCAAAGAGAAAACACAGGAAGTAGCTAACATTTTCTGGAGAAGTCTAAATAGTAAACATTTTAGATTTTGAGGGACACAAGTAGTTTTGCAGATTGGGTGATATAATAGTGTATCAGCACTGGAAGCTTTGGTGGAGGATGAGTGAAGCAAATGCACATGTTGAGGTGTGAATTTGTATTCCTCAAATCATGTTATTTTTGTAAATGAATGGCAAATCAATAAATTTTAATTAAGTAAAAAAATCATTCAGATGCTCCTCCTTTTTTTTTTTTTAATGGCAGTAACATTGGTTTATAACACTGTAGGTAATTCAGAGGCATAAGATCACTCCTACTCAAATGTATGTCAACCATACCACAGGCACCTTTGGTTCTCCACTGTGTACTGTGTTATGCCTCTTTCCCCACTGTCCCCTCCTATACCTCCATTCCACAGTCAGTTTTCTAGAGTTTGTTATTGGTTTGGTTTTATCGAATCCTTCGTTTTCTCTATAGTCCACATAAATGTAAAAGCATCCAGTATTTGTCTTTCCCCTTCTAACTTATTTCATTGAGCATTATCCCCTCCAGCTCCATCCATTTTGTTGCAAATGGCATGAGTTCATCTTCTTTTTTTATAGTTAAGTCATATTCCTTTTTTTTCTAATCCATTCCTCTGTCCTTGGGCACTAAGGTTGTTTCTCTAACTTGGCTATTGTAAATAGGGCTGCAATTAACATAGGAATGCATATATCCTTTTAAATTAGTGCTTTGCATTCTTTGGGTATATACCTAAGAGTGGAATGCCAGGTCCTATGGTAGATCTGTTTTTAACATTTTAAGAAATCTCCATATTGTTTTCCGTTAGGGTTGAACCACTCTACATTCCCACCAACAGTACATTACAGTTCCTTTTTTTCTACATCCTTGCCAGCACTTGTTTTTCTGGTCTTTTTTTACATGGATCATTCTTACAGATACGATGTGATTTTGATTTGCATTTTCCTGATGATAAATCATGATAAGTATTTTGTCCTGCATCTTTTGGCCATCTGTATGTCTTCTTTGAAGAGGTATTTATTTACCTCCTCTGCCCAATTTTTAATTGGGTTATTTGTTTTATTTTTGTTGACTATGAGTTCTTTGTAGATACTGAATACAAAATTTCTTTTTAAAAGGCAAATATTCCAAATGAGATGTTTGAGTTCTGGACATATATTCCACTCCATGTGTCTCCATCTATATTGTGCTGCATTTTAGTGAAATGATTTCTATTTAATGTAGTAATATAACACATTTTGATTTTATGGGTATAAAAGTTGTCTCTTTCCAGGGTAAGGGTTAGCCACAATAATGAGGTGGCCATAGGGAGAATAAGTATGCTATCTCCCATAAACAAAGCTTGTTAGAGTATAGGATCTAGAACATTTTTTACTTTTTTTAAAAAAAAGCAAACTTCATTGAAATGTAGTTTTATTCAATGACATGCATACATTTTAAAAACTTAGTTCCTTTAGTATGTAACTCTATCATTACAAAATATTTCCATCATTTCATAAAATCCCTCATTCTTCCTTGCAGTCAAACAACTCCACCTCAGGAAACCACTTATCTGACTTTTATCACAATATATTATTAGTTTGCATTTAAAAGATATTTCATATAAATTATACCGTTTCATATATACTCTTTCATGTCTGTTTTATTTTACTAGCATAACATATCTGAGATAGCTTCATTCCTTTTAATTGATAGGTAGTATTCTACCGTATGAAATACCACAATTTATCCATTTTCCTGTTGATGAACATTTGTCTTTTTCCAGTTTTTGACTAGTATGAATAAAGCTATTACATATACAGAAGCATGTTTGTGGATATAGGTTTGCATTTCTTGGGTAAATACTTAGGAATGGAGTTTCAAGATTCAAATGGTAAATATATGTCTAACTTTTTAAGAAATTGACAAACTGTTGTTCCAAAGTACTTGTACAATTAATTATTGGACTGACCCCAGCAAAGTCTAAGTGTACTCACTACTTTATTTAACTTTACTTGTCACTACTTGGTATTGCCAATCTTTTTCCTTTTATTCATTTCTGTGGTTTTGACTTGCATTTCCCTGAAGGGTAATGATGTAGAGCACATCATTATGTGCTTATAGGCAACTGATAGATTTGTGACTGTCTCTTCAAGTTCTCTGCCATTTCTTGAATTGGGTAGTTAATTGTTGTCGATCGATAGTTCTTCATACATTCTTCTTATAATTCTTGTAGTATGTGTATTGCCAATATTTTCTCCCAGTCTGTGGCCTGACTTTTCATTTTCTTAATAGTGCCTTTTGAGGTACTATTGTTCTCTTTCAATCTTCTTCTACTGATGATGATATTATCACACTCTCTTCTAATGAGAGAAAAATTAGATCATGGAATCATTACCTAATGAATCTGAAAGTAACTTTTCTTCATTATCACCAGTTTCTAGAACTCTCCCTAATTAAAAAAAAAATTGAAAGATGGCTTAGCATCCCTTTACTTATTTAATTTTCTTTAATTTATAGTTATATTTCTTTTGTACTTTTATTCAGAGCTCATGAAAGTATTTGTATGTTGTATGTGTGTTCACATATGTGTACTAGAGATTGAAAGAAGGACTACAGGGCCTCCCTGGTGGCGCAAGGGTTAAGACACAACCTATGAAGCAATCCGCAGCCACTGCAGCATGAGTTCAATTCCTGACCATCTAGGGAGCAACCCACATGGTACAGCAGACCTCTCCTGACTCGCCCTCTGCTCCCCTCAGCAGTGTACTTCATGAAGGACTACAGATCTGGAGAACAGAGACTGAACAGAGAAGGGAGAAGAAAGGAAAGGGTTCTAATACCATCCCTATTTGAAGCATTCTTGATGGTGCTTGTAACTTCCTCTTGCATGATCAAGGAACTCTTGAATTTGCTTATGAGAGAACATGCTACATGAATAATAAATAAATTCTCTCCAGATTCTACCTTTCCCTGCAAAATACGTCTAGGTTGAGGATTTCTTAAAACTGTGAATCTCCAAAAAGTTAGTCATATTGCCAAATGTTTGATCTATCTTTATATAAACATATTTTAACACTTACTGAGAATTGTGCTATTAATATGCTTGCTTATGTTACAAGAGAAGTCCAGCAGAAAACGTAGGAACATGATACATCAAAACGAAAAGTATGAAGTCACTGACTCTACAGATGAGTCTAATTACAGAGTTAAGGATAAAAGTGAAAATCAGGAATGCATTGATCTTTCTACTTGTTCTATGTTTGGGAGTAAGGTCAGCAGCAAAAGTGACTTTTCAGAGGCAACCTACAAAGCTGATTTTTACTATCCACTAATGGATTCTGATTACAATTTGAAAAATACAGTGTAACAGCAAGTTCTTTCTTTTGGAGTTCTTCCAAACATTGTTTAGCTTTAGTCTCAATCTTCTCTCTATTCAAACATGCCTCTCTTTATTTCATACCTTTCCCCAGCTCTACTTTAATTGCTTTTCTGGCCAGATGCCTGCTTGATTGGACTTATGAAAAACCATCTGGGTAACACTCTGAAACTGGACCAACCTTTCCTCTGGTAACAAAAAAAAAACACCTGGATCTGGAGAAATATATAAAACAACTACCTAAAGGCACTGAAGGGCTAAACAAAAGTAGACATTATTTTGAGGGTTTCAGGGCACATTAGAGAATAAATCTGGAAGAAGGTATGACACTGGGTAAAATTCTCACTCGTTTTAACTTTTGCTGGAAGCAAGGCACAGTACCACACTGCATGACTATAAAACTATAGTCTCATTAATTGAATAGCCAGAGAACAAATTGGGGTGACCATAACAGAAAGTAAGAGCAGAAATTCTGGGGGAAAAAAGTAAAGTAGAGAATCCCCTATTGTAACTACTGTAAAACCACAGTATTTAAGAAAGTAAAATGCTGCTATAAAGATAGACAAATAATGACTAGAACAAAATGAAAAGTTTAGCAACAAAGCCATACTTATACAATCATTTCATTTTAACAAAGTTACAATGGTAATACAATAGGGAAAGTGAAATTTACATATATAGACACACGTTTTTATACACACACACATATATACACATACATACATGCATGCATAAATAT